CCCCCCCCCCCCAAACACCACACGCCTTTTATCTAATTCTCCATATAATAAATAAATCATTACTACCTTTGACCTGCAACAAAACCCAAAAGGAACTTCACTCAAATCCCCAACATAGCTTGCTAGTATATAAAATTCAAAACACAAAGGCACAACAAGAAAAATTCCTTGTTTTCCTTTCTCTATATACACAGAGATCTGATAGCTACTCATTTATCACAACAAAATCACATTGACCAGATAATTACTCTGCTACAGCAGTCAAAAAATACCAACCAACTCACAACAAACCAGATAGTAAGTCCAGAGGAGGATCTAGGATTAGAACAATATGGGTTGGAGTTCCGGATTCTACCACTCCCATTTGATTTACTGAGTTCAAAAACCATTGTTTGTATTTATTTAGTGGATTTTAGACACATATACAGAGTCCAAGCCACAGCTACCTATGATCTACATCCGTCTGCCCCTGATAATGGCACAAATACAGCATAACCCCAAAAAAAAAAATCCAACGGCCCAATTCACAATAAACACAGAATCACAAATCACAACAGAAAGAAAAATCCCAATTAAGATTAACCAAACACGAGAAGAAAAGATCGATACCGGGGGCTCTAGGGCGCTCAAGAATAATCTCCTCAGTAGAAACCATGGTGAGACGAGCACCCACATCCTCATGAACTGCATCCCCAAATTTAGGCCAAGACCGCCTCTCAACAGCCCCTTTGCTCAGCCTAGCATTCGCGAGCTTACGGATACGTGTCGTAGTAGTGATTTTCACCTTGTTTCCTTCAGTGTTAAACTTGTATTCCACTACTTTCTTCACCCCATTCTCGTCTGGCCCGAATATTTGCTTCGGTGGTAACAGGAAATCCAAGTCCTCCGCATCATCTTCTAGCTCCCCCCATCGGAGTTTTGGTTGGTTTGTCGCTTCCACCGCCATTGAACGATGAGCCGCCAAGGTCTAGAGAGAGAGAGAAACAACAACTCTTTTGGTATTAGGTTTTGTTTTATGTTTTCTTGAGACCAAAAGGGAGTATTTTGGGAAATACATAAAAGAGGGTGTAGTGGGCGGTTAAGGAGTTTGGGCTGGGCTTAGATTTTGCAGTGATCCATTTAGTTGGGACGGATTTCTTTGTAGAAATATAGCACCAGTTAGCCACTTTTAGATGTGGTATTTAAAATATAGTCAATTTTTATAATGTATTTAAAGCAAGCTTAGACGAGAAAAAATTTAGACTACTTATTATTTCAGATCACGAGTCTGACGTTGAGCATAATAGTTCAAAACTTCAGATCTTTGAACGGGAATTTTCAAACTTTTATGACTCTAGCCGGAGGTCTGAAGTTTGATTTGATGTGGCTAAATTTTAAATACTTATAAATTGCAGCTTTTATATTAGGAATTTTTACCTCCTATAGCAAAGATTAACATCTTATTTATTTTAAATAAATACCATTTAAAAAATTATATTCTATATATACCTTTTAAGGTTTATAGTAAAATATTTAATTTTGGTTACCTCCTAGCCCTAAGCCACTAAATATGTTATTCAGTTACACTATTTTTTTCTCTCTCTACTTTGATACATCCCATTCTCTTCCCTCATTCCCTGAAAACACGATGCTCAATCTCAAAATTCCTCTCGCCCACACTATTTTCTTTTCATTTCGATCAATTCTTAGCACCGAATATTGTTTTGCGATAGCAAATCAAATCCCTAACCAAAACTAACTGATTTGGGAAAGATAGTTAACCAACGTTTGAACTTTGACAGATTTGGGAAAGAGAGTTAACCAACCTTTGAACTTTCCCAAAACTAACTGATTTGGGAAAGGGAGTTTTCTTCTTACTCTTTTGGTTGATCACGTAGTAGCGTATTCCTTCTCTGTTCCGAAATGAAAGTGAACATTGACGGAGATACTGGTGGTTCTCCGCCATCGACGACAGCGACAGTCACTGTGGAGGTAGCAGTTAAAAGTGTCGAAGGGATAGGTAGTCAACGCGGTAGCAGTTAATGAAAAAAGGTGTCGCATGTTGTACCTTCAAATTTCAAAGGTCCGCGTGTTGTACCTTCAAACATTGCTACGGCGGATTCGCCGGAAATTAGGGTTTGTTCTTGAACAAAGACGACGGAGTTTGGGGCTGAGCAACTTGATTTTCTGTTAATATATTTTCATGTATTTTCATGTATTTCATTGTCTTTTTTTTTCATTGTAATTCAATGTATCTCGTTGTATTCCATGTATTTCATGTATTCACTGTTTTTTTCATTGTATTTCAATGTATCCCGCTGTATTCTATGTATTTCATTGTATTCACTATCTCGCTATATGCCATGTATGTATTCATATATTTTTTTTAATTAATATAATTTATGTATTTAGATGTATTATATAATTTATCTGAAGATTGCTATGTTTTGGGGGTATTTTTCGGTTGAGAATCTTTTTTATAACTGAAAATACAAAATTTGTGTGTTATAATTGAGTTTGTTAAGTTATATTAGGAGTCTATTATGTTAATTGATTCACTTTCCGTTTTAAAAACAGTGTAATCCCCTATTTCACGCCGTAAATACAGTCGAATACAATAATCTTCCCTGATTCACGCCTATTTTTGCTACTGTATTCATGAATACAATAGCTTAAATATATCA